CACGACCAAGACCTTGTGCAATTCAGGTTACAGTAACGACATTGATTTTATCTCTCACGAACGCTCCCCAGTTATTTCTTTAACAGTAATGCTCTATCACCTGCAGTTGAAGGTCACAATAAAGGAAGTTCAATGAAAATCTTGAGTTAAAATATGGTTCATAAGTTATAAAATAAAAATACTGCCTATATTCTTTCCTAAAATAAGTATTATAAAGCCTCCCCTTACACTCCTGAGCAAGTCGAGTCTCTTTCATCTGATAAACCACAACAGTTGCTCTCTTCAGTGGTAGAAAGAAAAGCTTTCATTTACCATCTAAAAAATGATTTTTCTCAAAAGTAGTATAAACCTAGCCAATGCTTTAGTAATACAAGATGAGAGATACTAAAAGATATAAATCAAGCTTTAGAATATTCAGCTCATGGAAAATTGTTCAACTTAAATTGAAAAAGGCCTAAACTATTTTTAGTACGTGTTTAAAAATGGATTTCATGGCTTTTCAAAAAATAAAGAAAAAGAAAGTATGGAGTAATTGAAAGGATAAATTTACTATTTCTAGTCAACATCACGTTGTCTTCACCTGCAGAACTACCCTTCAGTAAAACTCACAGACATGCCAGTAAATGGCATGTACATGCAACTAGGACTGCGTATTGCAAAAATGCAGAACGGGAAGATGTATCTGTTGAGAAGAATTTCTTCCTCTTGGAAACAACCTAGTAGCACATGGTGTTGGGATACAGATTATTGACACTTTGCCCACTTCAGAGTGAAGGGGAACTAGAGCCATCTATCCTATGTAAGCACCTGCAACTTGGCTATTAAACAGAAGACAGATACCAGCAAATTATTTCACTTATTTCTTTGAAAAAGGAGTAAGACACAACCCATTTGTGAAGGTGTGGCTGCTGAAAATCTGTGCTCTTGTAAGGGACAAACATACCACACAGGGTATTTCAGCAGTCAGGAGAGGAAGATAGTTCCTTATACGTTGTATTATGTGAACTGAAAGCAAACCTACTTAAAAATTTTGGATTGATTTATCCAAAAAGTGGCACAATGTTGAGAAAACAGCCATCGCACAAGAATTATTTTGGTTTCTTCTCTTAATGGTGTATCTCCCAAACTGAGACTGTATTTGGTTTGTAACTAACTGCAATGAATGACATGGATACAAAATGATTTCCCAGTGAAAACAAGAAAGTCAGGTTTGCTGCAGTGTAAGATAATGAACACAGGATGGGAAGATGTTGCTTAAATTACTAATTCTGGTCCCTTGTAATTACAAAGAACTAAGCTGTCTGTATTAATTCAAATATACACTTGGCCAGAATGCGTACTCACCACCACCCTATAATAATTCTGAAGGACTAAAATCACTGAAGGACTAAAAGTCACAACAAGAGACATCCACTAATGTCCAAGGCTACTGCACTGACTTTGTAAGAAAACACTGCCCCAGTAATCTTAGGAAATAAATCATGCCACAGAGGAAGGAGGATAAAGCTCATGCTTCCTCATAATTGGCTGGCTAAGGTGTTGCTTGCAATGACTAAGTAGGATTAATCCTGTACGAGAACTTCCTGCTCTGCCAACATGCAAATATTCCAATAACCTGCATCTGGAACACTGCATGCTTTATTTATAAACAAGTCCCTCAGATGGCAAGTACATAAAGTCCCATTGTTCCTGAACAGTCATGATACTACCTTACCCTGTTTATGGTAGAAGCACCACAATTTCTATTCTGACTTGAAGAAGTCTTATCTTTTTTTCCTTTAAGAGAGAGAAATCTGTCAAATTAATGTAATTGTGTTAAATCCCACGTGATTCGGCACAGCGCTGTCATTGCCTGACTTCCTGTTGCTCTACAGAGCAAAATGTATATATTTCTGGAAAAAAGCAATAAAAGTGTTTTGCTTTTATTTTGACATGTAACTTCAGGTAAAGCACCAAGAAACCACCTAATGCTCAAGTGAAAGGTACATTATACAAACTAAGCCAAATCACTTCTGATAAATGAGGAATATACTCTATATGAGTAGAGCGTAGTGTTTTCCCTTGACAACTTTCCTGAATAGTGCTGTAAGAACTTTTTTTTCCCACAAATTTTGTGCAGTTCAGCAGCCACAGCATAAAAACAGCCTTATGATGCCTCCCCAGTGTTCTCCTTGAATGGGATTTCAAGTTGCTGTCATTCTGCGGTTGATTTACTCAATGATGCATAACATGTCCTTACTGTAACTGGGGGCTATTCTGTTTTCATCAGCAGTTCTTATACTGAGATTACCTATTTTCTTGGGCTAATGGTCAGATGTTTTCATGCCATGATACTCCTCCATGTGACAGATTCTCTGACGCAATGTCACCATGTGTACCCTGACCCCAAAGCATCTTCATATTCCATCTCCTTTTCTTGATGCATTTAATGTTCCTTGTATTAGTGTCAAAATCCTGCAGGGTCCTTACGTACTGTGCTCATTTTAAAAGTACCTATAATCCCTGTACAGCCTCGAGGTACCTGTGACAGACCTGCCCAGCTTGACTTAATGTTCTTATGCTTCTCCCCCCTTAGCAGATATCATGCTCAACTTCAGAGTGCTCAGGCCTTCTATTTCAGCAAAACAGTTTCCTATTTACGGGCTCATGTTCTGCCACACTTACAGACTCTGGAGCTTTGATGAAGACTTTGGATTTCCCAAGCTGATATTGGTCAGGATCCATGTTAACTGACTGAAGCAGATGGAGAACTCCTTGTTTCTCTTCTCCTTTCCAGGAAGGCCAGGTTGCTTTGGTCAGAATGGCATACCTTAAAACAGGTAGAGAAGAAGAGATTAAAACCTGCTATCAAACAGCAGCAGAGTATCACTGACTCTTAGTCAGTATTACCCCGGGGGGGTGGTTGACAATTGTGGCAGGACTTACAGAAGTCCTGCGGAAAGGTGCACAGTATTAAGATGTTACTTGTTTAGCAAGACCAAATGACTGCAATGAGAAGGGCAAGTGTCCATGAGTCTCCTGTTTCCAGATGCTCTGTTACTAGTTGGTAACTGCAGTAGTTAATTACAGAAAGTTCTGCTGTGACCTCCTTAAGTCCAGGGCAAGGCTATTTACTAGTAATGACTTATGGTCCAGATTTAAGTGCCTACATCCTTGGTATTCTAGATTCATTCCCAAGCATGTGGCCCATTTCCCACTCAAGCCTTCTCTATCTTACTCTTACAAAGGCCTTTTGTGCTTCTAAGCAAGCGGCCAGCTCATACTCCTAACCCACCTGTTCAATAGCTGGTCTGCATTTAGCAAAGAGCCATTCCTAGCTGTATCCCAGAAAGCCTTTGGCCTGGCCTCTGGTAAAAAGAGGGAAGATACGGAGATACTGGTGCTACCTGGAGGGAACACTGGGATGTGACCACACAGAGGGCTAGGGAGGCAGGGAAGTGCTATAGTAACACAACTTTCATTGGAAGAGGCAAGTAGTCTTCTGTCTCACAGTATTAAGCTTTGAAAATGAGGTGGATGCCAGGTTGTAGCCCCTTTTAAGCTGTCTTAGTACTTACTTATTCAGTAGTTTCACTTGGGTTTTTGGAACTGCCAGGCTGGAGTTACAAAGCTGCCTTGTTCCATTGCCCACCAAGAAGCACTGATGGGCTGCCTCAGTGTGTCTGTGGATAAGTAACTTCTCCAGCAGCACCTACTTAGACTCCTTTGACCGTGAGACTGGAGAACGGCTAAATACGTTGTGACAAATTTCATACCCAGATGTTTGCAGACAATGTAAATACACTTACATATTTATCAGTATCATGGGACAAACAGATAAAACTTAGTAAGGATTGTAAGTTAAAGTAACTCCCAGCTTATTTAATTAACAGCTTCTTTTGCAGGTTCATCATGTACTGTCAACAGTATAGTTATATGTGAGGGTCTAAGAAAGTCTAAATTTAAAGGAGCTGATGTTAATAAAGGCATTTCAAACCGCTACTTTCCACACCACAGAATTTGACACTACATTTCAGCATGTTACAAATCCTTGCTTACATCCTCTGAGCTGTAAAAGGAGGGCACAGGTTAAAATGATGACTCAAAACCTTTTAATGTAAGTAAAACTCTTCAGTCCAAAATAAGAATAGAGTTGAAATTATTCTTTTTCATAAACTCAGATCAACTTCATTTTACTGGTGTGACAATTCTACAGGGCAGCAGAAAGATTATTCCATAACATGCACCAACTAAGCATTTCACAATTTTATAATGTGACAATTCTGTCATTGTTCACTGCTGTTTAGAAATAGCACTTTCCTCTAATGTTTCCCATTAATCTGGTCATTGCAATATCCACGTATTTAGGTTTTTCCAGCTTGTGTAATTTGATTTTACAGAGGATTTCAGCACAGGTACTAAGTGTGTTCTTAAAATGCTTCTGAAACAATTTCAAATCATGACTTCCCCCCCAGACCCCCCCCAAATTTTCTATTATAAATCCACAGTAAGCAGTTAGGTCCCATGTCTAAATACGTGAGTATGTAGTTCAGCTTTCAGACTGGTTATGCTTTGAAACACATAGGCCCTTTTCAGTGACTGTGGCTTTCTGCATGCAAATGTAAATTTTGTACATATAAGTCTATTCAGCCCAGAAATCTCCACTTATATGGAGCTGCCAAGGAACTCCCAATGACAACAAGTGTACAAGCATGCATTTCCTGTCCATTCCATGCCTCAGCCCACTTTTACTCACACTGACTCAGGGTGTCAGAACAGAGCTTGTTCTGGATGCTAGGGAACTGTGAATGGAAAGGTTGCAGGAAGAACTTTACTCACAAAAAATTTAACAAGACTAATTTGAAACAAATGGCTGAATTTCATAAAGAATGGTTTGAGTTGCCTGTGGATCTCTACATACAAAGTGAAGTACAGAAATCTATTCACTTTCCAGAAGTACCACGTAGCTTTATTGTGCAGACCTCGCAGGCAGGTTTCTAGACCTGCACAGTTCTCACAATCCGTGTTCAACAACTGCAGATGCTAGATTTAATACACATTATTAATCCGTTATTCTGTCTCAGCAACGGTCTGTGTTAAGTAATGCAACCCGAAGCATATTCATGTGTCATGTCTAGGCTTGAAGATCACGTAGAAAAAGGGATTTAAAATTGTTCCATAATGAAAATTAAGTCCATACTTTTAAGATATTTTAGGTCTGTGTATTACTAGACGATCAGAACATTCTCTGTATTATCATGACGTATCACTGGCTTTTTTCTGTGCTGTTTGATTAATTATATTCCATTTCTTGCAAGCATTTATTGGTTTTTTTTGTTTTATATTCTCTAATGTAACACAAAGACTTCCAGCAGTAGCTGATTTGTCACATAATGCCCAGTGTGGGTATTTATTAGCTGTATGTTTCAATTAAAAAATAAAAAAATCTTGCAATTGCTTTAATTTAAGAGGATTTCATTAACTAGTGGAGGTAGTTAATCATCTGAACAGCTGGTCCTACGACAATGAAACAAGGATTGGTTTTACAGAGCTCTGACTTGCTTTCATTCAGTGAGCAGCTGCAGTGGTTTGAGTTGTAACCATTCCCAGCTGTTTGAACACCAGTGGAAGGATATAATGAGCAATTCAAGCTAAGGTTACTCTTTATACTGGAATCGTTGAATGGCAGGCAAGTATTTCTTTACTTATCTTCTGCACTGGGAAAGAAGGGTTGGGAGAGCTAGAGCAGTAACATTTTAAACACAGGTTAGCAGCTCATAACTCTAAGGTCTCTTAACCCTCTCTAACTTGAGGAACTGTCTGACAGCACTACAAAAAGAAGGTCTTAGGCAAGTTTACAACAAAATGAAAAGACCTTCAAAGAGTCAAAGGCATTCTTTATGATATTTCAAATCTATGGGTAACCAAGATAGTGACCAAGGTAAATGGGGAAAAAGGAAAGCGTAAGTGGGAAACTAGAAGCTTTAAAAACTTGCGGCTTCTGGTTTTAATCCTCATCATGGAAACGACTGTGCTGTAATACTTCAAAATTGGTATTACCCTACCTCTGCAAAAACTTCTTGAAGACCCGCCTGTAGGCATAGCCAGCTCTTCTTACTCGAATATTTTCTTTCAGACCTAAGTATTCCACTTGATGTTTTACCCTGTGGACAAAAACAATGCAAGATTTAAAATCCATTTCATTTCAGCATATTTGTGGACTGAGGTATTCTTAAAAGCCTGTATCATGTTTCAAGACTACTGACTTCTAAAATCCATGCATGAGTATATGAATTTATTTTTGCACATTACCATGCACACTGCATGGCAAGAACAACATTCAAGACAGGTAGACTGCATTACTAAAATATATGTAGCAAGTTTACCTTAGCATTTTTTCCCTAGTTTAACTTCCCATTTCCTAACAAATACAAAAATTTCTTAACTAATACTATAACCCATAAAAGGCCAAGTAACTGTTACTTATACAATTACACAGCTGTTATCCAAAGGAGTGGGAAATGGTTTGGTGTTCTTCTTATTGTAGGTTTCACCTATGTTTTACATCGCTCAATAATCAACAGCAGCACTCAGTAGCTCTTTTTTGTTTGTTCTGGAGAAAGGACTGAATGCGATGTCTGGAGAAAGCCCCAGATGCCAAACTTTCATTAGACAAAAAATCAGAAAGAAGAAAACCAGGCCAGTATACTCATTAAAAGCTAGCATTCCTCCTAATTCTACCACGGTGCAAAGGAAGCATTTGGTAAGCCTGTTCATGGCATACTTCAATTACCAACAAAAACTGGGCTGGTACCGGTCCCATAGAAAGTGCTCATGGCTGTGGAGGGAGACTGCTGCTCGTGTGAACTGAAACATCATTATCCCAACACCATTACAGTTCCTTCATGCAAAACACGTTCATTTTAGGTTCTAAACAGGGAACAAATATGTCCCCATCAATCTCAAAGCAGAAAAACAGCAAAAGAAAAAAAAGCTTCCTTCTGGTACCTTTTCCTCTTTCCTGGAGCTGCGGTACATTATTTTTACGTTCCTCCTTACATATCCTGCTAGTCTACTACTTAATGCTCGGAGCGTTGGTTTGAAAATTTCAGTTAGCTTCCTTAACAAGGGGACTCCTGCTGTTTTCCTTTGCATTTCCTTAATTTCCGCATCTAAGTCATGTGCCTGAAAAAGGCAATGTCAGTTTTTAACTCTGAAACTCAGGTGCTTCTGCTGCTGTTCCTTTATAGGGCAAACTGTAGAAGCTCTAGCTTTCAGTCAGAAATACAGGAGTTGTTAAGCTTTTAGACCTGCAAGTTTAACAAACAGTATACAAAAGAACATTTCTTTACATATGATCAAATAAAGTGAGCCTGTAAGGAGCCATTTAATTTTGTTTTCCTTACTATTTTTCTGATTTTACAAAAGATTTTTCAAATTCTGAAAAACTCTTGGTTAATTCAATGTTATTTCCCTAGCTGTTCTGAAATGTTAAATTTCAATCTAAAGCGTATTGCGCATTGAATTTTTTTCCCCTGTTTTTTGGTGAGACATTCTTTTCACATGACTCAGTATAAAGGGGAAAAGCTTTTGCAATGCCATGTTTCAAATGACAAAAGCCCTTCAGTAATTTCTTTTTAAGGAACACTTATGAGACGTATTTCCCTAAATGATGAGTGATACTCCTCTTTTAGCTTATAATAAAGAATACTGCGCATTTTAATCTTGCTGTGTTCAAGGAATAAAGTGCATTTTTTACCCACTCCAAGAATTCTGGTACAGTAGAAAGTTGATGGACAAAAATACATTTTCCTGTTTATAGCTTTCCCTCCTGTTCACATCTGGAATAATGCACTGGAGCAACGGTATTACTCCCATTTTCTTACTGTCCTGCCAGTATTGGTGTCCAGCAACAGAGAATTTGAGACATTTTTCTGTTTTTTCTTTTCTTTCTGAGAAAAGGCACACACCAAACCTCCCTCCAGGCATCAACCTCAAGCAGGTCAGGGTCTGGGAATTCAGCTAATGCAGCAGTTTTGCATACAAGTCTAAGTGGCTGTGCCAGGACCTGAACAAAAACACATTTCAAGAACACCCCAACTTTTGGAATAACTTAAGTATTAGACAAGGTTTAGGTATTACACAAAGTCTGTGTTTTAGTGCTAAATATTCTGGAATTATTCAACAGCAGTACAAAGCTGGAGTGAGAAGGTTTCTGCGAGCATGAAGTAAGACAGGCTTTGTGAAGGTTGTTTTTTTTTACTTTTTCAGTTACATTTTCACTGTCTAGTAACACGCTACTAATAAGCTACACATACATAGCTTATTAGATACACTACTCCCATGACATCAACTATGGCAGCATGTGTATGATACAATTCTGTGTGACCACAACAGGGAACAACAACAAAAAAAACCCAAACCCTAAACCAATTCAGCAAAATATCACAAACTCGGTTGTTTCTTTCCCTCAACACAGAACTTTTTCACAGTAAAATAATGAAACGACAAAATTAAGCTTCAGTGGTCACATGCATATAAAACTTCTTTTCCCCAGACATGTTATTAACTGCTAGAACACAGGTATACTATACGTGAAGTCCTATTTTAATATAAGGGAAATCACAGTTTGAAATGGGAGAGAATGTTAGGGTTTTTTTAACAGGGATGAAAGATTACTATTGTAAGAACTACTTCCATTTATGTCTGAATTTGATAGTAAACTATCCTTTGGATTTCATTTGTTATCAGTAGCTGCTGCATTTGCCAAACATCATCCTCATTATAAGGAAGTCTTGCCCATTTTTGCTCCAAAAGGGGTTTCCTGTAAGCTGGCCTTTTCTTAAGGTTTTTGTTTGTTTGTTTCATTGGTTTCCTAGCAACACCTTCCACAATAATAGGCCTGTTTTCCAATATGTAAATGATTGATTTTAAAAGCCCCTCAACTTACAGTTAAAAGTTTTACACATACTTTTTCTAGGATCACTTATTTTCCTCCTTTGGTCCCCAGCGTCAGTGGAAAATTAAATGCTGCACAGTAGGGTTTTCAGGGGTGGAAAAGCTAGAGAAAGAGGGTCTACATTTACTGCCAAGACCCAAATGACACTTTCAAGTACAGTCCCAATTGTGGCTTCTGTAAGTGCTCTACATCTGCATGTAATTGTGCTGGTCTGCATGCCAAATGGCAGGAAGTGCATTCTGGTGGGTTGCTGATATGGTGAAGAATGCTTTTATCAGACTTTGCAAGTTGTTTTAGTGTGATAAAAATAACCACTTGCTTTATCAGCACTTCTAGCAATACCAGAACTACTTGGTATATAGTAATAAATGTTATCTATTTTAGGACTTCACATAGTGCACGTACTGCACTGATCACCAAAGGTGGAAAAAAAGAAAGGAGTATCTCTTCTCAGATAACAGGAAGATTCTATAAAGCATCATACAGTTGCAGATGCCTTAAAATGGATGTGATAAACCAAACGGATTATTTAGACAGCTATTTAATGTCTATCTAACAACTTGGTATGATATCTTAGTGACTTCTCTCTAAAGAGCTGGCTAATGAAACTTAGAAGTCAAGAAGTAAAAAAGGAACCTGCTGCAGACTTTTTGGTAAGTTTGATATACAAAAGCAGATACATTCTGCTGACTTTTCAGCTACCTCATAGAAGCTGTGTTCAAAGCATAAGGCAAAAGTCAGAACTGATGTATAATACATTTAGTGTGCAAATTCTACATGGAAAAGCGAGTCCTTAATATACCGTTTGTGTTACCATTATGCAAATATAGATTTATTCATAATTGATACAGGAAAAGCTAAGAACTGCATATAGTAACTGCTGATCTACAAGTGACTACAGCTTATCCTCAGAGTTCAGCAGAGGTCATGCCAGATTTAACTTCTGAAGGTTTCAGAGTACCTAGTTCTGTTTGTCTGTAGGCTGTACGATTACACATTATGATTTTTTGTTGTGGTTTTTTTTTACTATAAGCACTGTTTCTCCTTGCATACCCAGCTTATCCATACCTGCTCTCCTCCCAGTCTCGAGACTTCTTTGTTTCATTTGGTTTGATGCAGCGGATGTAATGAGGTGTGCACTTCATCAGCGTGCCAACAAGGTCATTTGCTTGTTTCTGTAAAATGGAGGTAAAACAACAGGATATGAGCTGAACAGGGTAAATCCTGTGAGAGAATTCTAAAAATCATGAACCATCTGCTGATGATTCAGTTGACTGGATCCAGTTGACTTTGATCTTTCTTCAGAACAACCAAAGTGTCTTGGGATAATATGCGCCTCATGAAAATTTTATCAGTAAATAGAAGGCACCATTATCTCCAGCTGTGTAACATATTTACACTATTATATAAAGATATGGAGTGACAAGGAATGCATCAGGTGAACTTGACTACCACAGTGAAATATGAGAAAAGAGGTTGATAAAATATCGGTTTCCAAAGTCTGCAAGTACGTAATCTAAGCGTGTATTTTAGAGTCTCCAAAAAGATGTTCCCCTTCTAACACTTGCTGCCTTATTCAAGGCACATTATGGTCAGTAGAAAGACTTCTGTTGACTTCAGTGTGTGCTGGATCAGGCCCCTCTGCATTTCTGCACTAGAAAGGGACCGGCTAACTGTAGGACATCAAGTGGCTGAGTGAAGGGGCTCATTCATTATGCACATGCAAGTATTATTATAGCTACCATCAACTGCTCCTTTGGAAAATTCTCTGCTGTAGAATGCAGCTCAACAAAATGTTTAATGAGCGGTGCAGGACAAAAGATGATCTTAACAGCTGAAACAATGCATCACTTTGCAATCAATACACTCCTCATGCCTATCTTTAAAAGTGCCTGGATGGTAAAAACCAGCAAAGACTACTGTGGTTTTAACTTTATTTAGGTTAAAAGTCTAACACATACTAGCAGAGCAAAACCAGACATACTTTGATTTTACTGCCTGCAGTGGTAGGACGACCCTTCTTGTCCACTTGAAGGTTTTCAGGAAACAGAGCCTTTATAAAAGGCCTAGGAAAGAATTAATAAAATAGTGTTGGCATAGAAAGACAATTCAATGCAGGAATATCAAGGAATATGCTGTAAAAGTTGATAGTTGAGCAGAATATAAATAGCTATTTCTATTAATCTGTAGTTAAACCTATTTTAAGATCAGTATTTTTCATGAGTTTCATTCCCTTTCTATTTTAGTGAGCACTGGAAGACATGACAGCAGACTTCTAGACTCGAAGATACATGCACTTCTTAAAAAGTAAGCATCAATTTAATTAAAATACGTAGCATATAAAGTAACGTTTTTCTAAAACAGTGCCTGTTCTGAGAGAGCGTTGAACCACTCATGGCCTTGTTTGAGGCCAAACCAAATGGCTGTCATTATACCATTTGCTTCTGACACTGCAGTACCTTACTTATTCAGATTTGCAGAAAATGAAGGTCGGTATAATGCAGGTGATGCTGTTCTACTGCAGTGATGTTAACTCATACAAAGTAGAGAAGTCAGGCTCTGTGCATCCATCTGAACTAACATATTCCTAGCTTTAAGCAAGTTTTGCTTACGTACAAATCACTGCTCTGCATGAGTTCAATCAAGTCCGTGAAAAGAACGTCCCGATTTCTCTCGCAGAATCCATCCATATCATAAGATACCTGGACCAAGGTGGAAATTGATTGCGGTAAGTTGAGAACCCAATAATTAAAGAACATTTAAATTCTAGCCTTATCAGTAGCTGTTCTAACTTTTTGGTTTGTCTGGCATAACTTAGATGTGGCAACGATAACTAATAATATATCCAAGGATTAGTGAACTTCTTCACAACAAACATAAAGGAATTTCATCCATGTATTTAAAATGAGTGAAAAAGACTTATGGAGCTAGTGAATGGAACAGGACACGAGTGAATTTAATACTGAATGTTACTGAAGAAAAATAAAGGTTTACTGTTATTAACTGTAACTGCAGGAAATCATGAATAGTCTTGAGAAATATACACAAAGAAGATAGAACTGTACATTATATTCCCAGTTTTATTTGTATGTCATCACTTTAAGGAACATTTTTAGATCCAATTTCTTTAAATTAACATTTAATTAACATTACATCTACTATTAAGTTCTGGTTAGTATGTCTGATAGCAGCAAGACCCAGACTCACCTCTCCTAAGTTAGGGCATATTTGTTCTAAGCTCCCTGCACATTGTGAAAGGAGGACGCTGGCTCTGAAAATAATCTGGCTATTTAAAATCAAAATAGCCTTCTACAGTGCTTCCTTTTCATTACCGTTCTTTTTCTTTATAAAATACATTATGCAGAATTCAGTGATCATTTTCCACATTACCTTTCCAGCATAATGATGAATGATAAATCCCTGGTTCCAGCTGTTGAAATGTTCATGAGTCCCAATCTGCATCTGGAGTTTTTGAAGCAGTGTTTGGTCAGCTCCTTCTCCCACTGCATGCATTGTGGCACAGACATCATCTAAAATGCTCATAATCCCTGGGGGATTCTAATGCATAGGAGAAGAATAACAAAAATAGCTAAACTGAGGAAAAAGAATGACACCAGCTTTTCCTCTCAAACAGAAAATTATCTTTGCTACAAAAACACTAGAGAAAGTCACAACAGGAAGAATTCCCCTTCACTCAGTAGAGTTCACAGTAGAGATTAACTTGTATACAAGCATGCAAATAGTTTAAGGAGCGAGCCTGCTTTGGGCAGTGATAGTGACAGTGGGAAATGGGGAAAACAATGATTGCTGTCAAAAAACCAAAACAAACCCCAATATGCTCAACATTTCTTTTACTTTTTATTTCCCTCACAAAGCAATCTTCTTTCTCAATTCACCGAAAAAAATAAACCCATGTCTGAGGTACTTAAACTCACATGCTGTAGGCTTGACAAACTTAGAGCTAAATATTTAAGATCATGGCAGAAATCCTATCCTCTTCCCAGTTATCCTGATACAGATAGGATATGGGCAAAACCTGATGTGCATTTAAGTGCAAGTCACTATAGCCCTTTAACTACTGTTAGAATTACCTGGCTTACATGAGAACAAAGAAGTAGCTGGGAAAAAAATACTTCTGTCCTAAAGAACAACTCAACATTTGCTGTCACCCCAAGCCAGAATATAAAGTCTTTAAACTGCAGAACATTCTGTGGAGCAAAGACACAAAATTTATCTACAAACACTTCCTAATACTTTCTCTTAACTTGCTTCTGCTTAATTTGCAACTGCTGGGTAGCTTCCCCAAACTGAAATACATCTGCCAGGGACACAGAGCCTTATCTGATGTACAGTAGAATGTATCATGAAGTTCATGATAAATTTAGGTGGATGAAATTCTGATTTCCATCACTCTATTTTTTAGTCACACATCAATCACACTATCTTATGGTTCTCCTTTTGGTTGCTATCTTAGATGTCCTATAAGAGCTCTAAGATATACATTATCTTATGTAAGATTTATATATAGGCTTAGTATGACTCAGTAGCTGAACAACAGTATTTGCATTTTTCCTATGGACATCCTGACACCCAAGCAGTTGCCCAAATATTTTAGAGAAAAATCTTGTTGTTTTTTTCCATCCATTTGTTCTAAATACTTACCACTTTGTTCTCTATGAGATCACACACTATTTTGTTGTTAAAATAATCTATTGGTGTCCACCTAATTCCTTCTTGCACGTATTCTTCCTGTGAAGTAAAAAAAAAGATGCAAATATTCTTTTGCACTGTGGATGCAGCATGGGATTTACAATGCACTACACACAGATACACAGACTCTGCACCATTCATGTTTGGAAGGAATTGTTAAATGTATGATTGGGATGCGGTGGGAGATACGACCCATATGACAGTTAAATCCAGTTCTCTGCTGCTGAAGAGTCGAATTGAAAACCTTCTCTGTCCTCCCCTCACATTCTTTTGTCATTTATAGCCCTCGAGTAGTTACTGAGAAGAGCAGGAATATTTCATCAGTTCATTTATTGTCAAAGCACTTCGCAAATAGTAACAAAGTGAGCTTTACAGTATCTTGACACTGCACCTAAGCATCCATATCCTCATCTATTTTAAAAATTAAGATTGTGACAGGTGTATCAAGGACTAGGTGACCAAAACAGCACATTTAGAAACGCACATGAAATGGGAGACACAGCTCTACTTTTTATTTTTGAGTATAACTGCTGGAACCATAAAGACAAGTAGAGACTGACTAGGGAAAAAATTCATACTACAGTTTTATTTAATTGATACACTCAGCTCATGTATGAGTCCAGCTAGGCACTTAGCGGGTCATTTGTGTGCTCAACTGCAATCATCAGTTACTTTTACACAGAGGCAATTGTGTATGTGCATTCTTGAAAACATTGGCCTGAAGTTGGTGCCAGGCCTGAGCTCATACTGCACACAACGCTTCTGTCTCAGCTGCATTCTGTCTGCCCTCCCATGCAGAAGCTCACATTCATGTAAGTGAGATTCTGCAATAAGACTGTGAGCAGAGAACTACAGATACGTTCAGAGGTACTTCTGCATTTGTCTCACTAGTCTATTGCATTCATATATCTGGTTTTAACAAAAAGGGTGTGGAGGAAATTAAGAACAGTATTCCCCTTTAACTGTGTGTCATGGCCAATGAAAGCACAGGGACAGAACCAAGCTGCAGTTTTCCATTTCTGTCAGTGAGTCAGAATATGCAGCAAGCCTGGGCAGAGTCATATGACTGCATTAATACACCGTATGATGGACCCAATTTTGTACCACTGTAGTAGAGAATATATGTCTGTAGCTGGTGTGGTTTACAGTTTTAGGGTTAGCCAACAACAAAGTTGTGGTTTTTTTCTTTGTCTTGCTTAACAAGACAAATTTTGTTGTTAGCAGATGATGAAACCTCAATTTTTCCACCAACTGAAAAAGCAATAGCTCATTTACGAATTCAAAAAGAATAAAAGTCTGGTTACCTGTTCTGCCTTCAGTGTCAGTTCAATAAAAATCTGCTGCAGTTTTTCGTTAACAAAGTTGATGCAGAACTGTTCAAAACCATTTTTCTACAGAAAAGGAAACAATTTAAAAATTAGTTCCATGCTTTATATAGAGTAATTCTTGATTCTTATGCTGGCAATAAGCTTCAAAGAAACACTGTCAATGATGGATGGGTTGCTGATTTTATAGACATTCTGTGTAATCTCAGATCTTTCTTTTAAGGCCAATGACCTAGTTTCTTTGAAGTTTCTTCAATACTTCGTGTTTATTAAGTGAGACATTACCAGTAAGAACTCAATGTCCCAGAAGCTGGGCTGGTTTGTTTTTTGAGGGTTTTTTTGCATTTATTCTCACCACAGGATTTGAGTTTTTTCTGTTTTGGATTTTTTCCCCTCTAAATAAAAAAATCTTCCAGGTCAGAACAGCACAAACCTTGAGTATTGCATTGCCTTACCTGGAATATTTCAAAGCCATAAATATCAAGGACACCAATGTTATATTCTTCATGGTCCTTCTCCATAGCCTTATTAATAGACTAATAAAACAGAAACAAAATGTAAAACAAAGTGTAGTTTATGTATTTAAAAGGTGTACTCATATCCTTCAATATTTATATAAAAATACTGGATTTCTTCAAAAAGAACATGTGTGAATGGAATACAAATACATGTACTATGGTCTTTTACTTTCACTTTTTAATAAAGTGTTAGCCATGAAATGAACAGTATACTGTCCTGTTTCCCAGGCTAGGGAGACTTTGGTTCTACTGTTTGTAAAAATCTTTCCCCTTCAGCATAACTGGCTCAGTTAAAGAAAAGGAGCCAACAAAAAAGGAACAGCTTTAAGTCTGATATTTGATGCATTTTGCAGATGGTACCATGAATCTTTTCTCACCTATTTCTGTATTTCTCTACTTTGCAGTGTCAGTGCTGGTACAGGCACATAGTGGGAATTACAGAGCTGCCATGAGGAGGGAGACTTCTAAGATAGCACCAGTGCTACCACGGAGGAGACTTCTCCTCCACCTGTCCAGAATTTGTGGCCAAAGGTAAGGTTTCTCCTCCACAAGTCCAGCCTAGGGTCTCATTCTGAACAGAGAGTATTAAGCATGGAGAATGTAATTTGACCATCTGATCCAATGCCGCAACCTTGGGATGCTGAAGGGGTTCTTTGCAGGAGAGTAGGGCAAGAGAGCAGGGGACCATAACCAGCTAATTCTGCTCATCTGAAAATGCTCAACTGTCAGAGAAAGTAAGACTCAGATGTGTGGATGCTGACAGGAAGGAGATGTCAGAATATATTGGACAGTTGTGGCAGGAGACTGAGCAAATACAGTGCTGAAAGCATAGCTCATTTGCTTCAAAGAAAGTGTAGCATTTGTCACATAATCACTGTCTTATATTTGGTATCTATGGTCCTGCTCCCAATGCACTGCTCAGTGCTGCTGCTAAGGTTTAGGCAAAGAAACACGGGTTTAGTGGGTGAAAGAAATGACAGACAGGAAAAGCACTGCAAGGAACATTCCTAGTGTACTTGTACTTGTTTTGATACTGCAGTAGAATAAAGCAAATCCAACTTACATCCACCAAGTAATCAAAAACACGGGAATGAAGGGCCTTGGCCAGTGCATCTCTGGTGTAGCAGGCTTGTTCCACATTTAGTGTTACATTTATGGACTCAGATTTGCCTCCCCACTTGCTGTCCATCTGTCTGCTGGTCAGTTTTTCCTTCAGGCGGTCCTGGTTAATTCCCAGGAGAAAAGCAGGGAAAGCCAAAACTGCAAGAAAGATCAAGGTTGCTGGATTATGACTTGCAGACTAAACCAATACAGAATGAAGAAAAAAAAATTTGGCTGTATCTCTAATAACAATCAGCAGTAATCAACCTCATAGGGCATGCAGCTTAAGAAGAAATAGGAGGGATTTCTCTCTTTAAAATTTCCCTAAGGTCTCCAAGGACATTTTGGCTGTATCTCTAGTAACAATCAGCAGTAATCAACCTCACAGGGCATGCAGCTTAAGAAGAAAGAGGAGGGATTTCTCCCTTTAAAATTTCCCTAAGGTCTCCAAGGACATTTTCAACTATTTACGTACATGGATTTCCATTAAGATGAACTACCTTGAAGTAAAATAGTCAGCTTTTTCTATTTTCTACCTTCGGTCCTTCAAGCATGCAAGCTGGCTTAGATCATAGTTTTGAACTATATGGTTCAAACAAATCACTCTTAGAGGAGTTGGAAATAAAACAGAAACATAGAGCTCACACATTAAATAAAATTGAGACCACTGAAAATTCTTTGCAAATATATGAAATATTTAAAATATAACAAAGAATATGCAATCTGCTTCCTAACATTCTTTCCCTTTCTTCTCCTAAGTCAGGATACTGTACAAAGTTTTCGATTGCCTTGCCATTTATTTGATTTTGGTTTCTTCATCCCTTATTCTGGAAGTACTTTGCAAATTCTGGTTTCCCTTGTTTAAAAGTGAAGCAGAAATATGCATTTCATATGTGCAGCCACAGGTCTAGAATTCTTTGCATTCTTAGCACGTGATGCAGATGTTAGCTGCAGGTGTCACACCCCTTAAGGAATGCAAAAAGAGAAACAGCTTGGAAGTATAGAGAAATGGCTCCCAGGGGCAGCTCTTGGAGTTGGTATTGCACCTCCACTAAACCACATAATCCTTTACAGTGTTTGCTCCATGCTCCATTGCTTTCAGATCTACTTTACTGGTGCGAGGAGGATGTAAAGTAATGACTAAGGCAGCAGCCACTTGTGCTTTATACATCTGTAATGTCACAGCATGATTTCACTAAACCCTTCAGTACATTAATCCAGAATTATTTTTGAAACAGCAAATAACTACCAGCTTTCTGAAATTCAATTTATTACCATCAGCAAGCTGATATAATTTATCCTAGTGTACCAGGAACCACACAGCTAAACAAAGTTGAGCCACTGGCAACATCTCTGGTACCTTCACTGAGAACTCAGGTTGAAGAGCACACGAAAAGGTCAGACATCATATGCTTTAAAATGGAAAAGAATGAAGCTAAGTATAGATTAAATAGGCTCGTATATACTGTAAAGATGCCAAAATAAGTATTTAGCCAATACTACTGTAAGAATTTATGCAGATAGTATGATGACAAGAACCACCATATGTACCTCAGAAACTCTTCCTTCACAGTGCTAATGATTTAATGTAAAGGAAGAACAGCTGGACATGACTTGATATAACTTCATGTTCTTAAAATGCCTTATTATTTTGCCTAGGTAGGGACCATAGCGACACTGTCTAGAAATTACTATAAAGCAGGCTATGGATGTAATTGAAAAGATGATCCTCCAAGAGTCATCACTACTGTTCTGTGGAATAGTGTTAAACACAGTCTGTGATGAAAAGCTGGAAAAGACTAGGTTCAGTTCACTGGCTTGCAGAAAGCGCAAAACAAAATTTTCAATACAATGCAAGTGTAAAGAGGGATAATTCAAATGGTTTTCTGCATCCAGGAGAGAACAAGTAGTATTTGCCATGATTTGCAACAGGGAAGACTTAGAATAAATGAGAACTTTTTTTTTTCAACTACTGATATAATCAACCACCGTAATAGGTAGAAATCACTGGCAGTTTTGAAGACTTATTTGTCTAAATGTCTGTCAAGAATGGTCTGTATAGATTTGATTCTTACTCAGAGTAAGAGAGTAGAGTTTTTGGCATCTTGAAGAATAGCCTTGGCACATTTTTCTGCAATTTGCTATATAAGAAGAAGAATACTATTGACCAAATTCCTAACATTTTTTATTATTTCAGACTTATGCAAAGCATGACTTATCAGTAGTCTCTCGTGTTTTATCTTTCATAGCTATCCAGGCTATAAATGCTTTCCTATTGAGTTGGCTAGGACAAACAGTAAATTGCAGGGAGGATTAATGGAAGGAGAAACTAACCCAACTTTCAACTTCATAATGCAGAAACTGTCCTAGACATTGCAATTGTTTCTCTTGCTTCTTTAAAATGCAGTATGTTTATGAATGAATGCTATATTCATTCTATCTGCTATTTTTTCAATGTATTATTCATACATAACTTTTGTATTTATATCCCAGTGAGCAAGAGAAATACAGTGCACATGGCTCATCAGAGAAATACATTCACATCCAGCAACTACTCTTCAGTTTGTTACTTTTTGATGCAGCACATTGTATCTATCTCATCTGGCTATTAAATGTCTTGATTTCACCGAAAGATTTGATACTGTCATCTAAATGGAAGCCCAGTAGCTCATTTGGAATTGTAAGACACATGAAAAACTCTATACTTTTATTTAAGACTGGGGATACTGCACAAGTTGGTAGCTGCTTTCACATGGCAATGAGGTCAGACAAGCCACATAAGAAACAAGTGTTTTTATGAACACACGTTGATGCATTCAAAGGAGCAAAGCTCAAGTTTGTTTGAAAGCGTTTCTCACAATTTCTATTATTTCATACTCTAAGGCCGGAAAAGGATTTCTTAAATTCAAAATGCAAAACTGCACTCCTATTAAATCACTGGCATTGTACAAGACAAAACAGGGCCTCAGTACCATTAGTTTTGGAAGAGAATCTAAATTAGCAGCCTCGCACTGTAAGAAGTGATGCACTGTGGTCTGGATAAGCAGCTCAAGATTGCAGTTCACCTCAGGCCACCTGGGTTTCAGCCCATTGTGAATTCTGTAGCAGTTTCCAGAACTACTTACACTCCTCACTCTCCACTCCTGCATAGTTGCCAACTTCTTTGAAGCTGATGTTTCCCAAATGCAGTATTCCTGCCACAATCTGCAGCACCAGTGCTTGTTCCTCTGCAAAGATCCCAATCACACTCATTGCATGCTGGGAAGAAAAAGAATGAAAAAAAATTTGTATCATCACTTCTTGTCATTGAAGTCCTTTTAAAACTCCTCTTAGGTGTCACACTAAAAATAACAGTGTCATTGGAAAATGGGAAACAATGAACCTAAGAGGAAATTATTTCATCCCTTCTGCACAGACAGTTTATCCACTGAGACTAATAACTGAAGCTGTACTGAATGACACTAAAAGGCAGGGTCTGTCTGGCTGAGGCCGTGAATTTCAGCCACTCACTAGAAAATGATCCACAACTACACTGGGTTTTGGAGTCTAGAGTACAAGGTAATTTATAAAATGTCTTCTCAACCAACTTTTTCTAAAATACCAAATTACCTGGAATACAACAGTAATTATTTTTTTTTAGGCCTTTAAATGTGCAACATATATAAATAAGATGTGTTGATGTGCTTATTTTGAATAGTAAATTTCTACTAACAGCACACCAGCAAGTTGACGTGACATGCATAAAGGTCACAAAAGGAATTGGCAACAGCACTGTATAAAGATCTATGATTTCTAAGTCCCTTTCTCCAGTCTTTCAGTTGCACTGTTTTATATAGGCATGGAAGATCAGTCACCACTAAGAATTTAGCTAAAATAGGGCACTCTCTCGTTCCTCACTGTTTGCATTTTCACATTTTTCATACTGCAGAGTATCTGCGCTCAATTAAATTACATTAAATTTGCACCCTCCTGAAAAAGAACAGAAAACAAAACGCATTTCTATAAAAGTATCTATTTTATCAGGATTGTGAGGCTGCAACACAAGACCTCTTCATGGCAAGATACCTCTTCCTCAGGGTAAAATACAACTAAAATAAGTTACGCCTACATTCATTTCTCATTCCCACATTAATACATCAATGTCTGTGCTACAAACGGACAGTGAAATGAACATACATCCACCACCATGCAAATCTTAGAGTAAAAAACTCACCAGTGTTTCTTGGAAATCTGATTTGTCATTGATGTCATCGACTTTGTAGGACCCAGAGAGACTCAGATAGTAATAGTAGTCCATACTGGTAATGCCAAGACTGTTTTTTTGTTCTGAGGAGGCCCCTTCAATTAGCTGCAGAAGAAAAATTCCCAAATTAGGTATCATACAATGATCTTCAGCAGAGAGGAGGCAAGTTGAAAGCAGGTGACTGAGCCTGAAATTCCTGGGAGAGCTATGGCTAGTGCTGTGCCAAGTATGTATCCTTCCTGTGCTTTCTTAATTGTTTAACCCATAAGACCAGACTCCCATTCCCATGAACGGTTTAGTTCTAACTTCTACATCTAATACAAAGTAAAAACTGTGACTGACTTGAATGCCTTCCATTATCTTGACCTCATAAAGACAAGGCAAAGTAGGTTTTCCAATCCGCAATGTATTATCTAGATCCTCAGGGGCAATGTGTTTTCCATGCCTACTGAAAGGTAGGCAGACTTGAAAGAACATGCTAAGAAAGCATTATTTGTGACTCTGATTGTGAGGCCAAGAATCCTTTATGGCCATTGTGGCATATGTTAAGTTTTGTACTGTTCCAATACTACGCTGATTTGGAGCATGGCTCAAGTCACACCTCTTTGCATCATTTAGGCCAACGGGGCCAAGAATAAATAACAGAGTGGTTAACAAAGGTTCCTGTACTCTCTGTGATGCCAGAGGAGAGGCTCCTCAGACCTATGTAAAGTCTATGCACTTGTGCACAGGCATGGCTGCAACAGGAGGGAATGAACAAATTAACCTCGGAAGAGAATGGTTAAACCGCATAGTCTTGTAACTCCTGTGTCAAAAAGCCTCTCCAAGGCACGGAGGAAAATCAGCAGGACAGTGCAAATTGTTCCTGTACCTTGGAGGAGGAGAATGCACAGCTCCTAGAGCAATTCCAGCTCCAGCTCAGCTTTCCATCCTGGCAATGGCACTTCAACTTACATGAAGCTGCTTACAATCACTTATAATGCACTGTCTTTACTCTAGTTTTGTAGAGCTTGATCAATAGCACTTCAGCAGATAAGGAACTCGCATGTCAAGGACCAGTGAAGGCCAGAAAAGCTTTTTGAAACACAAAAAAAGCAGGGATGCTAGGAGGAGTCAACAAATAGATAATGCCCTAGAAAAATGAGAATTAAATTTCTCTTTCATAGCCGTGCTATGGAATTCAAGAGCAGAAGGTATAATTATATAGGCCAGTTTAAAAAGAAATCTTTTGTAACGTTCACGTTTTCCTATCATATGTTATTGGACTTTTCCATATGGCAGTTCACAGTGAATTTCCAAACAAGGCCTTGGAAACACTGAAGTACTTGTGTTCTGGTGCTGACAGGCAGCTAGGTAGGTCTATTTTAGACGGTGTCTTAACCAAGCTCTCAGTGATACCCAGATTACTTCCTTGAGTATGCATTCAGTAATCTCACTGTGTTGAGAACAATTTTTCAGTCAAAAGGAAAAAGTGGTACAAGTTATTTCAAATGACTTGGAAAGGACCTATAGACTTCTGACCTGGTAAAAAATGTGAAAGCTCCTTTCTCCAGGATTCCTCATTACAACTCGAGATTTTTCCAGCAGGAAGTTGGAGATTTTCCCTCCATCTGGTTCTCCACCTGGGCTAAACTGGATTTCAAAGTATTTCCCCTGCAATAAATTATTAAAGCTGTTGAATGATTAGTAAATACAAAACTGAAATCATGTACCTGTACTGTATCTCAAGAAAGGTTACTAGGATACTTAATCTTTACGGCTGCAGTGACACAGCTGCCTCAAGGTATACCCTACGCTTAGATTCATGAACTATCACACATCTTTCTTTCTGCATTGATACAGCACTGGCCTTGGGTAATACAGCATGTGTAAATGCAAGTGTAGCGAGGAAGTGAGCGGCTTCTTGTCACTGCTGAGACTCTTGCTAAGTATAAAGGCAACCATAAGGCTCATCTACACGGGAAGTAAATGTAACAGATTTATGACCAACAGCAAACACAGCGTTCTTGGAAGCAGAGTAAAGCAAATACCTTTCTCTTTCAGGGAGACATTAACTGCATTAACACTCATGCTGGCTGCAGAACAAATTTGTAAAGCCTATGTGTAACTTAAAAGCAGACCCTACAGTACGTTTTCTAGTGAACAGTCATTTCACAATATTACCTTGAGTATTTCATAATGGCAGACAAACTAATTCCTGCCTACTCTCTGTATATATTAGTAAAGACATTTCCTATCAAACAACTCTAAGGAAGGTTTCATCTATTTTTTAAAAAGCTATCATTTTTTTTTAAAGCCTGTATTACTGCTTATAGTTTGCTGATCTGAAGAACTGGCCAGTTTGTTGCTCATTATTTGTAAAATGCAAGCAAGTAACTTCACTGTGACCAGAACATACTGTAAGAGAAAAAAATGTGCAACCTATACAGAATGAAATAGAGGCCTCTCAACATATACTTTGTTTTAAAACACACTTTATATTTTATTTATATTTACCTCATTTGCAGTCAATTTATATTATACTCCTGAACACTCTAACAGCACAGAAGTCGGAAGAATAAAGCAATCTCTAAGGTAAAGGGACTTACAAATCTGCTGGAGTTATTGTTCCGTACAGTTTTTGCATTCCCAAAGGCCTCCAGTAAAGGGTTGGACTGCAGAATAATATCTTTAACATGCTAAATTTTAGGAAACAAGAGAAACAGAGATTTAGAAATAGACATTCTTTAAGTTCTTAGAGATTTTCTAGAAAATTATCACAACTAGATTATAAATTTAAAAAGCATGAAAGCCTGCATCTGTAAGGAATCCTCTTGATCAGATATGAAATAGAATTTATTTTCTTTTTCTACTTCCCACAGCTTTTAGTTTGTTGGGTTTTCTGTTTGTTTTAAGAAAATCCTACAGAATTAATCAAAATGCCTGAGGCTAAAAACTGGTCCTTCTGTTTACTGTTCTGCCAAGGAACACAGCCAATAAACTGATGGTTTTTTTCATCATCATCTTTATTTTAAACCATTTCCTTCTTACACATCAGCATTTAAACCTTTTTGGGAGTCTGGAACCACAACCAGTGAAGTCAGAGCAGCATGAAACTTAGGAATTTGCAAGCGCTTTAGCTACATGTTTTAGGATCAACGATGCGGCTATCTAGCTGACTTAGACAGCAATAGAGCACGTTACCGTTGTCTTTTTATCTGATGCTACGCGTTGGCAGTATGGACAAGATCCTAGCTTTGGAACCGACCCAATGCACGCTGGGTTGTGAAGAGAAGATTGAGTTTTATTCAAAAAGAAATGCTCAAGGCAACTTATCAACTTCATCAACTGTTACTTTGTAATCACTAATAACATTTTGAATTTTGTACAAAAAGCTGGAATCTCTTAAATAAAACAAATATTTAAAGTATTATTATGTTTGTTCCAGAAAGAACACAATGCATACTTTCTCTGGGTCATTCTTTTGGTTACTGAATTATTCTCTGCAATGTTCCCAGTATCTCTGTTGTGCAAAACTAAGCTGAAAGAACATACTCAACATTTGAGACTTCAACAGAGCAAAAAATAACAGTAAGCACTCAAAAAGAGCAGACTGGTAAAAGCAGTTACTACCTACCAACCACATTAGTCAATGAATGACACTGTAATGTCATTAAGGGAATTTTTACAGCTAATTCACTCAATTAGCTTTAGTTAATAAGTTTCAATAGCTAGAGCAGACATTGATGGTATAATTAGTAACAACTATTTGTTGTTTCAGGTAGCTTTCAGATACTCTGATTTTGGCTAGATAATCTCATAAAGCAAGACGATGTTCCTACTGATGGCTCTCTGATGTATCCACACAGATCAGAGATTCAATGGAAGTAACAAAAACCTGAAAAGCCCATTCAGTTTTCAACAGGAGGAAAACACCCTCACATCTGCTAAGAGGAGACTGGTTGTTATTTTTAATGTGGTGAAGAACGATAATTAAAGTACCTTTTACTTTTTAACTAAAAAAAAAAAAAACAAACACTAAAAATGCTTGTAGACATAATTCAGCATGAGAACTATGAAACTTTTAGCAGAGATTATACTGGGTCTGTGGATATCCCTTCTACAGCTCCCACCACACATCTGCAAGCAGCTCACTGTCCACTTCAGTTGTCTCTGCTGGTGAGGGCTTGTATGCATTTATAGCTGCTCACTCTGTGGTAGAGTGCCTCTTGGCTGCCAGTGTCTGCCAAGACAGACTTTTGTCATTCTCCCTCTGAAGCAAATCTTTAGACTATGCTTATGCTTCAGTATTACTCTATACCAACTCACCTGTACTTTAGGGCCACCTCCTGAAATTTTGGAGACATAACTCATGATATATTTCGCAGCTACAGTCTTCCCAGCGCCACTTTCCCCACTATGAACAAAGGAACATGAAAACGTACCTATTAGTCTTTAAATAATTCCAGAATAGAGTAATTTGAAGTTTCTTGTTCAACCAAGACTAGATACCTTAGCAATGAATGACAATAATAAATACACACCATATTTACATTGGGTGAGCTGGTAATATATAGACTGTGATATAGTTTTGTAGCATGGTACTTGGCTATGTTTGTGAATAAATCATTTTGAATACATCATCTTGCATGGACACCAGAATCTCTATGGCACTTCAAAGTCAGAAAATCATGTAAACTGGGAAATAAATATACTTAAACCAAGCTGCTCAGAGAACAAGTGTGTTAAGAACTCAGTTCCCATCTAAATTTAGTGGGATTTCAGATCTTAACACAAAATCTCATTTGAAAATCCAAGCTTTGAATGCCATGCCAGATACCCGCTTCAGTTCAGGAGGCTTTTGGTTTAGGTGTTCCTGAATGAAATAATGAAGCCTTATTAATCACATCCTGAATGACGGAATGACCTTCCTGTTCCTCTTGGCACAGGGTACATGAAGTCTTAATATTCCATACGAGCTTTCACAATTCCTTCCCTTGGTTATAATATTTCACTTAAACGGCAAATGATGTTTACAGTGTCAGTACATTTGCCTTCTCACAATTAATAAGGTCTCAAGAGGGAAAGAAGGTAGGCATGCCAGACAACCCAACCTCACACTTTATTTCATAACTTAAAGCTAAGTTCATTTTAATAGAATTCCTCCAGACTTACACAAACGTTGATACAAATCAGCTTTGATCTTAATAAATTTACCCTGGCCTGAACAACTATACTAATACAGAAAAACAACACACAAACGTTGGTTCAATGTCATAAAGACATCCAAGTATTTTTTCTCCTTGTATGAAAATCCATGCTATCTTTAAGCTCCTGAGGAATTTCAGTGAATGTTGTTGACTCTTCTATCCTGCACCTACTTGTTCCTGGATGTGGATCAAATGCACATCTTTTCCTGCACAAATTTTAGCTACATTTGCCAGATAAACATCAGCATGTCCTGCACAGGAAAAGAAGTTGCTGAGAATGTCAACTCATAGCTCCTCATCAGCATAACTAATGGAGACATTTCCAAAGGTTTCGTTCTGAAAAAACCTCACCAAGCTGCAAATACCATTTTACCTCTTTAAAGCTTCCAAACAGTACAGAAACACTGGAAGGCTTCCCCCCGACCCCCAAAATGTTTTAATGCTTTTGTCCTCTGACTGCAGTTTTACAGATCAAACAGAAAACTTTAAAAGGTGAAAAAAATCATGAATAATTAATGACGATTTTCATTATCTTTTCCTAAGCATGAAGAAAAAAGCCTGTAATATTGCTGTCTACTACATTCACAGGGACAGACAGAGTTTGCTGGATGGCAAACTGTATTTACAAGTTCAGATCAGCAACAGTTCAATAATTAAAATAACATTCCTTCAAAATTTGCCTGCAGTAAATTTGCTCATCCTGCTGTGAAAGAAGACCGACAAACCAACCTAAAGTGACTCATACTCAGGTTTATATATGCAGTTTTCAACTGAACACAGAGGAGGATCTGGAGCCAAACACTGAAGGAATTTGATCAGGTATTACCATGCAGTAAAAATTTAACACATTTCTGTAAGATTTTCTTTGATGCACAAATTATGCTTCTCCTTTTGGTTCAAATTAAGTGTGGCTTGTATTTCTCATTCCATAGTGTTTGCCACAGAAATCAACCTGGAGGAATAAAGCTCCATCTCATTGTTACTGTCTGTTTCGATGTAAGTGGTCCTTTACATTAAATTAAGAAAGACTGCTTTTCACAGTTTGCTTTCTGCTTATGCATGCACACACGTTTTTCAGTTTTATGGTTTTATTGATCAGAGACCAGTAAATTGTTTCAGTTAAACCAGAATAAAAGAGGATGATGCATTATTTATGAACTGAGGTAACTTTATCCAGTGGGATGGTATCTGGCCCCCAGTAAAGCTCAGGTAGTCAACTGTAACAGGGAAATGCTGGCATTCCTAAAAAAAAGAAGCTTTTTCACATATACCTTACTCTCTGCTGCTATTAAAAATGTTTTAAGAAGACATTTCCAGCTTGGCAGTTCTAAGTATATTGGAAGTACAGAAGTTTTTAAATGTTGAAAAAAAATATTATAATGGCTTAAAGTGAAAGGATTGTGGTATGGACAATTTTCTCAGACTTTTCTTACTAAAATAAAAACATCACATAGTCTCAACCACTAACAAAAAAGATAATGCTTAGAAAGACATATTGTTTCTTCTAGCACTATTTGCTACTTCAGAAGAGTGGCATTTTGTTCAGCAAGATCAATTAACACTTAGCGGAAATCAGAGTAAGACTACAAATGCAGAGGGAATTTTTTTTTCTCCTTCTTTTCTTCCCAGAGGAAATACAACCAGTGCCTAGAGAAGAAAGGTCTGATACAGAGCCTCATCCTTCTCTCTAAAATGAATTTTCGGAGTGACATTTAATATAGTATTCCTGGCTGCAGAACAATACAAGTAATAGTTATCTACATTGTCAGGGCAATATAGAAACTTTAATAAAAAACCTTTATAAAGAACTCTTTGATCTGCCAGTAAAGGACACTGCAGATGTAAAATAACCTGATGTGTTTGGATAACCTTCTTAGTTTGTTTACACAGAAAATCTACTTTCTCTAATTATATTCAGAGAAACCTCAATAGCATAACTTCAATTAAATATTTTTCCCTTCTGAATCAAAGCTTTTACTTAACTTTTCTTACTGCATTAGACTTACGTTTCTACCACTTTCTCATTTAAAGTCAACCACATTTCCAGTTACAGATGTTTTAGAACCATTGGTCATTTGAGTCCTCTGGAAAGCTGAGATATAGAAGCTGACTAGAAATCTCATATTAAATTTTGAATTTAACAGACTTAAGATAGACATGAGTTCACTACAAACAGCTGGGGTGGTAAGTGATCTTTCCATTAACATATATTTGTAGTATTTAAGATGGATTGTCTTTTCAGGTATGCAGTCATCATACACAGCGTTACTGTAGTCAAACGTTGTCACATGAATGTAAAATGGAAACTGAAATTACAAACAAGAAAGACTGAAAAACTGCTTTAAAGCAACTGCAACATGTCCTGGCAGAGAATAGAAAGACAGGGAAAATGAAGTCCTCGACTTTATAGAAAGGTAAAACCTTAAGAACACTCTATTTTGTATTACTACATACTAGAAAAATACTAATCATAACCTCCATTTTTTTTAATTAAAGGACAATGATAGTCCAGAAGGAAATAAATCCACAGCAGACAAGCCTTCATAATTAAAATCTTGATTTCACAACTCCTTGTTGATAGGTCAGAAATGCCACCATTTCAAGCGAGGAAGAAATGCGAACAGTCTGCTGTAAGTAGACATTTATAAGCTTGGTTCAACAGAGGCTTAAGTTAAATTTCATGCCTCAGTAAAAAATAAACTTAATGAGAAATCAAACTCCAGCTTATCTGCATTACGTATATGAGTAACCTTCCTTTTTAATTCTGCCTGGTGCATACAAAAGGACTGCGGGTACTGCTCCCTCCTTCCACCCAAGCACACTCCGCACCTGAGTTCAGCCCAGCCCGAACCCAGCCCATGAATAACGTCACTGTTTACACTGCTAACAGCCCTTCCAAAGAGCTCATGGCTTCTCAGCTATAATTAAACATGCATACATGTCATTTTCTTAACACATACACATATATGCTGCAATTACTTCACTAATGAAACAGGCTTCCCTGGCCCTGGAAAGGTAGTTTGGTAACAGTTTTTTCTTTTTAAATCAGTATTATCACATAAAAATATTCTTTTGGGTTGCTATGCATTCAGCTCTTCAGAGAACTATTTTCTTTTGGATCTGCTTTCCTAATTCATTCACTGACTTTTTGAAGAGGATGAACTTCTTCCATTAATGTCTAAATGTATTATTTAGAATTTTAAAATTAAATGTCCCAGCAAAAGGGTGTATGACCCTCACACACATATATGGTCTTGACTACGGCAGGACACTGCAGGGACCTTCCTTTACCTGCCTGGAAATCTATGCCTAGTCTCTAGGAATGCACGTCCCTTCCCAGGTCCAGAGGTAGATGCCACAGGTACCCAAGCCCCATGCTGTAGGAAGACGCAGGTGTGCACCAACTCCCTGCCCATCATCATTATGCCTCCATTCCTCCATGTGCACCATAAGCCAGGCACAACCTTTTTGATCTGACTGTGAATCAGTCCAGTTTACACCTTCTTTCTTACATTCGCTCTTCACAAACCTTTCTTGGAGGGGGGTGGGGAGAAGGAAAAACCTGGGTTTGCTTCTATACTAGCTTGCTCTGTTCCTTCTGTTCCACCAGGGATTTTCAATGAAGTCACCCCAAATTCAGACTAGTTGTGAAGTAGAGAAGCAAACAGGCACCTCATAATAACCATATTGTTATCATCACTCATTTTCCACAGGACAAATTTTGAAGGCACAAACTATGGTTCACTGAAACCAAAGGTCCATTTGAAACTGCTTAGGTTCAGC